CACTTCCAACTGGGTTCAGGAAAGGCGTCACAAGGTAATGTCTACAGGCATACCCGCTACCACCTAGCAGAATGCCATGCATCTCTATACCTCTATGGTTTTCCTCCAGGTACCTGAAAAGCAATTAAGTTGCAATTAAATTATAATTATTACAGTGCCAGGGGTATTTTCACATTTAGAGAAAACATAATGATTAACATGAATTGGTAAATTATATTAATTTGCTTAAACCTGCAAATAGTTTTTCACGATGTAAAAAGCGCAAAAAATACACGTACTACGGTACTACATAATATAATATATAATAATAATATATAAATATATATTATATATATTATCTATAATTCTTTCATCATTTATCATCATTCTTATATTGTCATTTACTGTCCAATTTGAGATGATCTGAATATAAAGGAATCGTGTACAGAACCTGGCCAGTGAGCTACAACATTTATAAATTTCCCTGAAATTGAAATACAAAGTTCTTTTTAGGTTCATCTAATATAGTAAATAGTAAATATGTGACCCCGCTGATAAGTAGTTTATTGTTTTTTATAATGAAAAAATATAAAAACCAAAACAAAATATATAAAATGTAAAGGAAAACATAAGATAGATTTTGTGTATATTATTGGCCTTTTGACCATTAATCACCCTCCGGAGAATGCCATCAGGCTTGTAACATAACTCTGAGGTGAGCGGGCAGTAGCAATTTGCTTCATGCACAGTCGCATTGGTCATTAGCCAGGCAACCCAAGTGCACTGCGAGCTGGAGGCCCCTGTTGGATTTACACAATTACAAACATTTATATCGACAACATTATACTTTAATCCTAGTGAGTACTGGCTGCCTTATTCGATAGCTGTGTGTACGCGCGCGACGTATCGAAAGGTGCGTACACCCTATCATAGTGAGTGGCGCCTTTATTCTATAGCTGCTGTTACTGCGCCGCGACGTATCGAAAAGGGTGGTCAACCCTATACTAGTGAGTGGCTGCCTTATTCTATAGCTGTGTGTACGCGCGCGACGTATCGAAAAGGGTGGTCAACCCTATACTAGTGAGTATTGGCTGCCTTATTCTATAGCTGGTGTTGTACGCGCTGCGATCGTATCGAAAAGAAGGTGGTCAACCTATACTTTAATCCTAGTGATACTGGCTGCCCTAATTCGATAGGTGGTGGTGTACCGCGCCGAGCTATACGAAAGAAGGTTGGTCCAACGCCTATACCTAGTGAGTTACTGGCTGCCCTAATTCGATAGGTGTGTGTGTACGCGCGCGAACTATCGAAAGGTTGGTTCAACCTATATCTAGTGAGTACTGGCCTGCCTTATTCTATAGCTGTGTGGTACGCGCGCCGACCCTAATCGAAAGGGTTTGGTCAACATATACTTTATCCTTAGTGAGTACTGGCTGCCTTATTCGATAGGTGTGTGTACGCGCGCGAGCCTATCGAAAGTGGTCAACATCATATACTAGTGAGTATTGTGCCCTATTCGATAGGTGTGTGTACACGCGCGCGCAGCTACGAAAAGTTTGGTCAACCCTATACTAATCATATGAGTATTGGTGCCTTATTCGATCACGCTTGTGTTACGCGCGGAGCTATCGAAACGGTTGGCCAGCGCTTTATACTCAGTGAGTACTGGCTGCCTATTCTCTTAGCTGTTGTACGCGCGCGCGGACCACTATCGAAAAAGGTTTGGTCAAACATTATACTTTAATCCCTAGTGGAGTACTGGCTGCCTTAATTCGATAGCTGTGGTGTACGCCGCGCAAGCTATCGAAAAGTTGTCAAACCTATACCTTAATCCTCAGTGAAGTACTGGCTGCCTTATCGATAGCTGGTGTACGCGCCGCAAGCTATCGAAAAGGTTGGTCCAACTGTTATACTTTAAGTCCTAGTGGAGTAGGTAACTGCATGGCCCTGCCTTATTCGATAGCTGTTGTGTACGCCCGCCTGGAGGCTAATCGAAAAGGTTGGTATCACGCGCTTCATTGGATCACAACCTCTTGGAACCGTTGGTCAGTTTGGTATACGCCTTCAGATGATTTCTGGGCCACGCCTTAACCAGCCCTCCAAGCGCTGAAAACCACGTTCCACACTTTTTCGATAGGGTCATCCTTTCTCAATGCGATCGCGGATTGGCTATAGTAAATACTCTAGCCAGATTA